GTACTGGCTGATTCATGACTGTTTCTGTTTTGGAATGTTTCAGTGACAACATGCAGTAGGTCAGATGTTGCTCTATCCACGCTTCGAGATAACAAAAATGGATTCGACATTGTATTGAGTGATGTTCACATGCCGGACATGGATGGCTTCAAACTTCTTGAACACATCGGGCTTGAAATGGATCTCCCCGTAATCAGTATGTACTCCATTTAAATTCTGATGGCCTTAAAAAATGGATATTCCAAACGATGTTTTCAACGAAACCAATTGATTGACTTCGGTTACCTGACTTATCCAATTGAACAGTGATGTCCGCCGATGACGGGAAGCAGGTTGTTATGAAGGGTGTGACCCATGGTGCTTGTGATTATCTGATAAAACCGATAAGGATCGAGGCATTGAAGAACATATGGCAACACGTGGTTAGGAAGAGGAAGAACGAATGGAAGGAATTGGAACAATGTGGAAGTGTGGAAGATGGAGAGCGGCCGCAGAAGCACTTGGAAGACGCGGATTACTCATCCACGGCAAATGAAGGAAGCTGGAAAAGCGGAAAGAAAAGGAAGGAAGAGGAGGATGATATAGAAGAAAGGGATGATTCGTCCACGCTGAAGAAGCCACGAGTGGTTTGGTCCGTTGAGCTTCACCAACAGTTTGTGTCGGCTGTTAATCAGCTCGGAATTGACAGTATGAACTCGTTACTTTGATGCCTTCTAAAGTTATTTTACTAGCCGTTATGCTCATCCATTGTCCATACTTGCAAACTACGGTGCTCTACTGTTAAGGGTCATCATTTAGTTAAAATGATATGGATAATCTCCATATGACTTAAGGTGAATGACCCCTTCAATGTTTATAAAAAGAGAGACGATCCATCATGGTGCTTATCCTCACATTTAGCTATGGGAGCATTTAGAATTCAAGCATGGGCATTGAAACACCTGAACACGGGTGTGTTTGGTTCTTTGGATAAGACTATGCTAGGTTGCGTTACAATGTCTCTGGTCTAGGGAAAGCAATATTTTTTACCATACGTGTCTTATATCCAAACCTCCCATTTTATTATCGCTTTCCGCAGAAATGGAACTTTTCATGTTCTATGAAAATCACTTTCGTGTGGTATGGCAAATGAATGGCTTGTGGAAAAATAGTTTGACATCAACGAGACTTTTATTTTTAACAAACCACAACTGATCTCCAGAAGGCTACAAGTTGATGAAATCCCCATAAGGAAGCTGTTTGGTCAGTAAACTTCTTCATCCTCTTTCATAAAATATTTCATGGAGTACAATGAGCCCATTTTGCAAGATATAAGAGTTGCTGGTTTAGTGGGTGTGCTTGTGAAATAATTTCCTTTAAGCTCTTACATGATCCCTGTTACTATCATGTCACGTGTCCTTGAAATATTTATGATCTACTTTAACTGGAGTCTTCCATTTACCATTTACCCGTGCTTTTTTCCTCGTCATCTCTTCCATTCTGAAAATATGTCTTGATTCATGAACGCAGAGGCTGTTCCAAAGAAAATACTGGAGTTGATGAATGTTCCTGGGCTGACAAGAGAAAATGTTGCTAGCCACCTTCAGGTATCCTTAATTTCAATAGATTCATTAAAACTTTCCTGTGCTTCATAATCCACATCTTTAAAGTTGTTTTCAGTACCATCTAACTGTACAATAATATGGTGCAGAAATACCGCCTGTATCTTAGAAGACTGAGCGGTGTGCCGCAGCATCAGGCCGGAGTAAATAGCTCCTTTATTGGAACACAAGACGCGGCTTTTGGGACGATCTCCTCACTTAACGGGTTTGAGCTCCAAGCACTTGCTGCTACAGGCCAGCTGCCAGCCCAAAGCCTTGCTACACTCCAAGCAGCAGGGTTGGGTCGGTCTGCCGGAAAATCTGGCATATCCATTCCGGTGCTGGATCAAAGAAACCTGTTCAGCTTTGACAATCCAAAATTAAGATTCGGAGAGGGACAGTCGCAGCAAAATCTCGGAAGCAATAGTAAACAAGTGAACTTGCTCCATGGTATCCCAACCACAATGGAGCCTAAGCAACTCATGAATCTTCAGCAGTCTGCTCAACCTTTTGGAAGCATGAGCATGCCAGTCCATACACATGGAGCCCAAAGTAGCTCTTTGCTGATGCCGATGGGCCAACCACAGGCTAGAAGACACGTCATCGGTGAAAGTGGTAGCAATTGCCCTCCTGTCCTTCAGGCCAATATGGGGCAGTCAATTCTGTCAACTGGCCTTGTTGGTGGGTCCTTAGGCAGGAGCAGCACTGCTGAAAATGGACGAGGTCCGGGGCACAATACGGTTTTGCAGACATCATCCGCTTTCAATTTTCCCATGAACCAAGTATCAGAAGCACCGGTTAGTAGTTTTCCCATCCAGAGTAGTTTTCCTGCATCAAAAGGTGGATACCCGGAGGATGTGAACTCCGGTATTATTAAAGGGCCTGGTGGGTGTATGCCGAACTACGATATACTCCATGACTTGCAGCAAATGAGATCCCATGATTGGGAGTTTCAGAATGTGGGCGTGGCGTTTGATACATCGCAACCAGGAAATACCGTCCAAGGAAATATTGACACATCCGGATTGCTCTTAGTTCATCAGGGTTTATCTTCTGGGCAGAGCAGCAGTGGACACAATAGAAATATCTCTGCTGCTGGCAAGTCCTTGCTTTCCGCCGACGGAAATCGGCAGGTGACCTCTCCTAATGTTGGTCAACCTCCGAATTCCCTTGTTGACAATCCAGTGCAAGTTAAGACTGAAGGTTTCCCTGATATGAGCTATCAGGCCGTGCTCTATCCGGAACACTACAGCCAGGAGGATATCATGAATGCACTTCTCAAGCAGGTGCGTGACTTTTGTTGCTTTAAACTTGCTTAAGTCAGGAAGTAGTAGGATAATCTGTTCTATGCACTTGCTATAATGTGACTTGCTCAAATATAAGACACTGACATGGAATTTCTCCTTTCCTACTGCAGCAACAAGGCATTGGACCATCTGACAGTGAGTTTGAGTTTGATGGGTTTTCCATGAATAATATTCCTGTATAGTATATGCTCCATGGTCAGGTGCAGTACAGTGCAAAGTCGCGCGCAGTACATAGTTTACACCAGTCGGTTATTTTCCCCTCCTGTGATTGGGCTGCAAATTCAAGAGGATTCTTGATTTGAAGTGGCAGTGCTGGACCATAATGATTATTGAATGGACCAATTTCAGCAGAAGATATTTGTGGAGCATGGGAGGCACTGCTGCGTGATATGCAAAGGCGTACATGCTAGTTCTTTTTGACTGCTTTTGATAGAATAATACTTTAGCCAGAAGAAGCAACTAATTTAGTCTTGTCAAGTTATTGTTAGAATTTCTTAGGCACTTTGTCAGCTGGACAAGGTTTTGTGATACTTGCAGTACTTTAGGTCTAGGAGCCTTTTCTAACTTCAATAACACACCCAATGCGGTTCTGGTCCGTCTTTTATTCCCCTTGTTTGTTGAGGTAACTCAATGTTATTGTAAGTATCTGCCTTTCCATTGCTTTGGACAAGGATTTGTGCATTCTTTACTCGATGCGTCTTGTATTTCATTGCCCTGTACATGGGTTGTGCGTTCTTTGTATTAAGTTCTCTTCTGGGCTGAATCTTCTATTCGAGACTGTTTCTTGATCTCTTTCTCATTCCTAACGGTCAATATCATGATTCCACGAAGAATGGTTGCTCCGTGGCCAACGCCATATGTTGCCAGATAAAACCCTGCAGAAAAAGGCTGCTTTTCCTTCTTTGACTCGCCATAATCTCTTAAATACCTTACTTCACGCATGGTCGTGACTCTTCATTAATTTTGCTGTCTAAAGGGGAAAATGTTGAAAATGTCTACCACCCCTTTGAGGAGTCAAAATACACAGACGGGAAAAAGGGGAAAACGCACACTGAGAGAGGGAGGGAGAGAGAGAGAGAAATGCACAATATGTACAGGGCAGAATCATTCAACTATATGATGCAGTAAAAAATCCGTAACCAGGAAAAAGTCGATGCCCTTCACGGAGAAAGAGCAAAGAAGGCACATGGTATTTTAGCTCAGAAAATTTGCATTTGAGAGTGACAAGCTCCAGCTAATTGCTAATATCTGGGGATCCATGTCTGCGACTCCAATGTTAAATGTGCCTCCATTTCACATTTGAAGTTCTTCTAACATCACGTAACTTTTCGCACTCGATGAGTTACCGCGGGACAAGCTTCATCAACGTATTTTATTTCAAGTAAAATGGCAAAGTTAGTCATACTTGACCCTCGTTGAATGGGCGCTTATGTAATGCTCCAATGGAACCATCTTAATTGTCCCATAATATATAGGGCCGTCGTTGCCCCTGTATCAATATAGGACAGGTATCTAATCTCTTTTGCCTCACGTTTAGACCCCTCGCAAGGAACATTAGCATCACCATGAATTCGTTACAGGACAAACGGTCAAAGAGCATATCGAACAATGTATGCACGGGCCGCACAATTTCATGAACAAAGATGCCAGTCGGAATATAGAACTGAATCATCATTCAACCTATAAATAACAACCACAACTACTGTGTACTATGTATAGTAGCAAAATCTTCTTGATCGAGTACATCTTCTTTCAAGGGTACCTCTCTTAGGAAACCATACTGTGGACCGTCATTTCCCAAGAACTCTAGGATCCTTGTGTGCATGCACTGCATCTCTCGCAGCAGCATGACAGTTCAATCCGGAGATCTCCCATGAAATTGGTGTTATAGGATCCGCACTCGACAAAAACCCGCCGATAAGTTGGTTCAGCAATGGGGCAAGTTAGCCTAGGAACTATATCAGCAACATGCTCACTGACTGATGCCCCGAATTAGGGATTCACAGACAGCAAAAAATATGAAAGCCTTTCTGCGTCATTCACTAGTAGCTGTACCACTTACCCTGCAATCAAGTGAAAGAATGACAAAATTGGGTGTACAGCACAACCGATCAAACAGAAAACATCTCTACTAAATTATGCACAAAGTACAAATTCTATTTAACTCCACAAACATCATAACAAGTACAGTATCATGAAAGAGCATAAAAGAATGTAGAGAATCATTAGATTTTAGAGTTACAACATTCTTTCAACCTGCAGATGACAATTGCAGTGTGTGCAAACGGTCTTCTCAGCAAAGTAAAAGAGCGAGAATTCGGAACCTCCCGGTAAGGTGTATACAGTGACAGTCCACTGAAAGAATATAAAGAATCTGCAGCCATACGTAATTAGGTCCTCGTCCTGCTACCGCAGCATCAACTTGAACAGAACTGATGCTACAAGGACTGAGTAGACTATGTTCGACATTGATCGGCTTCCACTGCTTGGGTAAAAAGAAGGAAGCGCGCACTCGTCTCCGTTAAAGAACACTTTAGTCGGAAAGCCATCTCCTCCCGGCACGTTTATCCCAGCAATATTTTTCTTGGTAAATGACATAACAGACTGTTGTTTCCCAGGGACCCTAGGGTCCTTCTGTGGATTAGCTCCATCAGTTTCCGCTACAAGATAGTTCAATCCCGGGAGTCCTTGCAAGAGGATGGTATTATTAGCGCCATTAATTTCCAACATGGTCCCGTTGAACGAGTACGCCTTTTCAAACCCTGGTGCAGCTTTATCCATTTGCACCGCAGCGAACCAATCAGGAAAAGAGGTCTCGTCCCAGTTGAAGATCGTGACCCTTGCAGTCCAACCTTTGGTGTAGTCAGTGTACACATGCCAATTGATGCTGACCCCGCAGTTATCACCACAAGGAAGTGGATTGGGCACTGTGTGATGGTTCAGATCAGCCCAGGCAAGTGCCAACGCTGAACGATTCTCGAAAGGAACCAGAAGAGCCTCTGATGGAAGAAGAATGGCTGGAGCTGTGGCGCTACAAGTTTGGCTGGTGCTGCTAGGGCACCCGCACGCGCAAGTTGGGCATGGGACAATCGACTCATTGTAGTATGAAGAGAATGACACGCAACATCTAGGGCTCGACCCCTTGGCTTGAGTGATATTGCACACCACCTGCCAGCTGGCAACTGCAGTAGTGTTAGAGGGTAAGCCACTAGGGTCTGGGAACTGGCTTGGGCTCACTCGAATTGGTTGACCACACTGGTAGTCGGGATTCAGCGTGCCGTTGATCTGCCAATTCTGTGGAGGCGAGAGCGCCGATCTGTTGAGATCTGGTGGCATTTTGTAGACCTGCATCTGGAACACCGACGTTGACTTGCTCGGGTCCACTGATGGTGGCAAGATGGTGCCGTTTCTACAACAATTAGGAATCAAACCGAGCGTGGTGTCATTGGCCTTGGTTGGAGGCAAATCAATTATGGTTGGCCGCTTCTCACAATTCAATACATTTGAGAAATCCAGGCTCTGGTAGTATGTGCCCTGGGTGCCAAATATGCAGTCACTAGAGTCGACAACATTTGGATAAGCCCCTTTCATCGTGTAGATGAACTCATCCCTCATCCAATCCCAGCTCAATTTCCAGTTATCAAGACGACCAAGTGGGTTGTGGTTGGCAATGGTGACCTGTGCCCAGTAGGACGAGTCATATGTTCTAATAACATCGTACATGATCGTTAGATCGCCACTTTTACGGGAAAGAAAGCCATCGCCAACAGTGATGTTGGCCTTGAAGTTGGTGTCCTTGGTGCAGCACACTTGCATCTCGCTCTTGCCTGCAACAACCACATCGAGAATTAAAACCTTTTCTCGACATTAAGGGTGACTGCATACTGGCAAACGATCAACAGCAATACATCCCATATAATTAAGCAATATGGCACCAGAGAGAAAACAGCTTCCATTATTGAAAATGAGGGAAATTTGGTTTCATTACGTCTTGATTAGTAGGAAAGGATCCGCTTAAAGGTAATCCTGCCAAGCATTCCACGCACATTTCACCTCCTCCTCTAACACAATAGATAGACACAAATATGCTAACAGAGCTATTTCTTAAAAAGCACAGAAACCCCACAATATGACCTCTTGATTAGTAGAAAAGGATCCGCTTAAAGGTAATCCTGCCAAGCGTTCCACACACATTTCAACTCCTCCTCCGACACAATAGATAGACACAAATATGCTAACAGAGCTATTTCTTAAAAAGCACAGAAACCCCACAATATGACCTCTTAATACCAAAGTTATCAGCCTTCTGCATCGTTGAATGAAACAATTTGAAAATTGTAAAATCTACAGAGAAAATCAAAGATGAATTTTCTTCTTCGGATGAACTAGTGCATAATCAAAAGTGGCAACAGTCCTATTCCACAGGATCTCAAGTAAAAGGATCACCATTCTATGTGTACCGTCATACCCAATATAGTTTCCCAAAAATCCAGCACATGAGACCACATCGAACCTCAAAGAACAAGATCCAATCACATTGTCCCACGAAAGTGTTCAAGAAACCTTAGCACCAACCAATCCATCCTACCAAAAACCACGGACCCTTCACTTAGCCCCCAACGACCAAAAGTTCCATCGATAAAGTTCACCAGGTAAGAGATCAACAATATGTGCACATTGACAAGAAAACATAAGAAATCACCTCAAGCTCGAAACAGAGCGGCAAACACAAATCAGCGAAAATGGTGCAATCACTCACCCTGCAGAGTAGGCGCGGGACACACGAACCCATCGTTCGCCAACGAGATATTCGACGGCATCGGCACGTCCGGCGACTTCACCCCGAACTGCGTCCCCACCAGCTGGACCTGCACCTGCATCTGCGTGAGATCGCCCGCCGTCTCGATCGCCGTCTTCAGATCGGTCGTCGGGTACCCCGCGAAGACGGTGCCGTTCCCGACGCTGGCGGGCAGGGACGACCCGTCGGCCAGGACGGCGTTCGAGGCGGAGACCAGGAGCTCGTCGTGCTGGAACCCGACGAGGACCATCCAGGACTTGAGGTCGTCGGCCCCGTTGTTGAGGACGGTGAGCGTGGACTGGAAGCGGTAGGCCTGGTGGGTCGCGTTCGTCGGCGGGAGCTGGGACCCGCCGGTATAGGAGTAGGAGAGGAAGACGCCGTTGCACGCGTCGGAGGCGGGCGACGGCGCGAGGGCGGTCTGGGAGGCGGAGAAGGGCGCCGCGGCGGCGGCGACCAGGACGAGGAGTATGAGGAGGAGGGTGGGCATTGCGCCGATGGGTTTCCGGTAAAGTTCGAAGCTTTGAACACGTTTCTGGTAAAGTTCGAAGCTTTGAACACGCATCAGAAGAACAAGAACAAGAACACACACAGAGGAAGAGAGAGAGAGAGAGAGATGGTGGCCGAGGTTTTTGTAGAGAGAGAGTGTGAAACGAAGGCGTGAACGCGTAGGAGTAGGAGAGAGAGTGGACAGCTAGCGTTTCCTAGTGATAGAGAGAGAGAGAGAGATGTCCATTTTCCTGCGGAGCTGTTCGAAATTCAAACGACTCGGTTTTCGGGTGGCTTTCCCCTTAATCTGTGATTAGGACATCGCTAATCAATGTCGTCATTAGTATACTCGTATCATAATCTTTGCTAATTTATAGAACAAAATCCATGGAAATTGCCATTTCCTGAGATGATTTGAACCTATCCTAGATACCCCCCCTTTTTTTTTTTTCTGTTACCCCCCCATTTTATTTTTAGCCCGAGTACGAAGATTTTCGCGGATTCATGTGCATCCATATCGTTTGTTTAATTAAGTGTGAATTTCGAGTTTACGACGAGTCGGTTCAAAAAAAAAAATATTAAATCTTTCGATCCCGTACATTTATTAGATATATCTAAGTTGATGCAGCTTCCCCAATATGTAGATTTCGATTTCGATTGACTAGGTATTCCTAAATTGATGGCTGACAATTAATGATATATATTTGTCAAAAATTAAACCATTAAAATTGTCGTGTTTTTCTAACAAAAAAAAAAACGATCATGTTCTATCCCTCATCAAAATAAATTTCGTGAAACTCTATCAAAAACGATCATGCTTGTACCTTGATACATAGATTAATGTTTTATTTATTTCGCGAGAATTGAATGATTTGGCGGACATTTCCTAAAAATAATTGTTTGAAATAAATAGTTAACGAAATTGTTTTCATAATTCACAACAATTTATGTCCAAATAATTTTATAAATAACGAAAATATATTCCGTTCGTTCATTTTTGTAAGCGACATAAATTATCATTTTTTCGAAAACTATTTTCTTAAATCATTCGTTTTCCGCGAAATAAACGGAATCTAAGAAGATCCAAATCCTCATCTAACGTGCCCCGCATCTTTTTACTTGGTCGTAGAGGTTCCATCTGCTTTCTATGTCATTTTTACCGTCCGGCATCACCATCGAACGACGCGCGAGGCCGGCTTCGCCTCTCCACCGAGAAATGTCCTCCCCAGCATCATACTCGGGCCGCGGAAATTGCGCCGCCCCCGTAATTTCAATCGATAACTTACCGTCCTAAACAAGGGCATCTCGAGTTCGATTCATACCATGAACTCGAGCCTTCCGATCTCGACATGGGATGACTGCTCGCGTTACATTCGAAATTGAAACGGTCGCTGCGACGAGGATCGAGACGCGCTTCATGCTCTTTTCGTTTTTGTTTTTACGTTGCTTTTCGGGACGAAGCGAGCGAATGGCGGAGGAAAGGGTGACGTCGCTGTCGAGAGGGAAGGTCGATGGAAGCATCGACGGCGCGATTTCGGTTCGAATTGGAAGAGCGTCCCCCACCACTGCATAATTGTAAACGTCTCTCTCAATTGCGCATTAATAAAAATAATCCTAAAGTTGACCGGCGTTGGTGGGCTAACGTATCTGGGAAATCAATACATGGAACCGATCCACCCTAGGAAGCATGTGCTTGGCCCCCCGGTCCGTTGACATTTTCGCCGATGGAGGACGGACCCGTGCGGCGCCGGGCTTTGCTGCGGAAGCAAGCGACGACATAATAAAACAGATTAGACAGGAAAATGAATCGGGCACCGGATTTACAGGGCTATTCACGGGGAGAGCAGCAAAGGATTCGGCTATAAATCGAGCGATAAAACGGAGATTACAAGAGCACTCGAGTCACTCAAACTCTTTCGGTGTTTCCCAACCCTCAATTTAACCAAATAACTCATAATTCCTTACAAAATAATATATCAATCTTCCGGAGGAATTCCCAAATCTTATTGACGAGATTTAATTGGCTTCAACACTCTATTGCTTCGGGGTGTAATTGACAAATATAAGCTCCTCTTTGATAATCTTCATAAAGAAAATTCACTTCTTGTATATAAACAAGATTTGGATCAACAGTATGAAATTTTCTCCAACTAGGACACCTATATAAAATAAGAAACTTTTCTCTTCATGCTCAAATTCGAGACATTTTTCAACAGAGGCGGGCCGATTCTCCCCTCGTATGATTGTTCCCAAGAGTAGCATGCAAATTGCATCAGCATGACCAATCATGTCGCTCCTCGTTTGGCTCAAACATCCAGCTTCTATTAGGGTTGACTAGTTTGTGGAACCGGGGATTGGCTACCCGATCCTGTCCAATTCCAAGGTCGGTCTCGGAACCGGTTATTTCTTCTTCTTCTTCTCCTTTTGGTTTCTTTTATTCCCTACAAGTGGAGCTTTCCAACATTAAAAGAAAAGAAATAATTTACTAATTAGGGCTTGCTTCAGAATAAAAAATAAAAAAAGTTAAGAAATCTTGATCGGTTCGGTTCCTTATGCGGAACAATTGACATAACAAAATACAACATAATTGCGGTGCGCCATATGAGTACACGACTTTGAAGTAGCAAGGTACTGGATTCATTAAATATTCGATTTTACATCCATTGTTTATCTTTAATACGAAATTAATAAAGCGTGTTTCATAGCATTTGTACGGATATCAAAACTGCATCTTTCAAAATCGTCCATGTACTTCAAAACTTATCGGGTAAAAAAGGTAGTAGATTTTTTTTTCCCATAAAAACAAGTTATTACCTAGAAACATGCCACGCGTAGATTCCCGATAAAAATAAATGGTGTCTCCGACTATTTTAATGATATCTCTCGTTAAGTTTAGGCTCCGTTCGTTTGGCGGAAAATATTCTCCTTTTGGAAAATATTTTTCCGGAAGTCATTTTCCTGGAAAATATTTTCCCGGAACATAATTTTCTGGTGTTCGACGATCAATATGAAAAAGTTTCGGAAAGTATTTTTCGCCGGTGACCGGCGGCAGCGTCCGGAGGCCGGCGGCGGCGGTCGGCAACCGGCGGGGGCGGCGGCGGCCGGCGACCTTAGTGAAGAAGAAGAAGAAGAAGAAGAAGAAGAAGCTCCGGAAAATGATTTCCGCTTTTGAAGAAGCGGAAGTCATTTTCCGTAGACTTAGGCTATTTTGTGAGGGGGGAAGGAAAATATTTTCCCACGGAAAACGTTTTCCGCCCCCCGAACACCGGAAAACCCGGAAAATATTTTCTAGGAGAATATTTTTCGCCAAACGAACGGAGCCTTAGCTAAAAAGATCGAAGAAAAAGACTATGCTAAATGTATATCCACGCATCTCGTTAAAATAGTGGAGTTCGTTTCAAGGATAAGTCACTACAAAATACCGATGATTTTTTGACAGAAACGACAAAAATATAATTCATCAGACACTATTATTTTCTCGCTTCTAGATATTTATCATAAGATTGGTCATGTTCCATCTTTAATTTTACAAAGAAAATTGACTAAAATAATAGTGTGCATTATAATAAATTGACGAACAATTATAGTACTATGCTGAAACTAAAACAAAGTCATAACTTGACAACCCTACTAAACAGAATTGGCAAAAGGACACTATAAGTGCCATAACTTGTGTACGGCGCTCACTTTGGTGCCATAACTTTTTTTCGGATCACTTTGGTGCCAAGTCGGAGGAAAAACGATCACTTAAGTGTCATAACTTTTTTTTGGATCACTTTAGTGCTAAAATTTTTGAAAAACGATCACTTAAGTGCTAAAATTTTTGAAAAACGAACATTTAAGTGAAAATTTTTTTAAAAAACGATCACTTAAGTGCCAATCTTCGGCGAGACTCCGGCGAGCCACGTCAGCTTCAGAAATTAATAAAAAAAATGCCACGTCAGATTTCCGGCGAAAAATTGTGTACGGCACCGGAGTTGGCACTTAAGTGATCGTTTTTCAAAAATTTTAGCACTTAAGTGATCGTTTTTCAAAAATTTTAGCACTAAAGTAATCCAAAAAAAAGTTATGGCACTAAAGTGAGCGCGTACTATGAGAGTATAAGCGACTTGTAGTGTTAACTTTTGCCAAACAGAATTGAAAAGATAAGACTACTACCAAGCCTGCTTGGACTGTGATGCCAAAGTCCTGCTTGGAGAGGTGAAAGAACTGCCTGCAACCTGGTATAACGAAGGGATCCCGCTCCGAACAAGAGCAGCGACTCGTCGTCGAGCTTCAGGCGAATCACGCGGCAACAAATGGGAAGAAGATTGATGCTGAGGTCCCCGGCCGTACAGCTAAGAGACTGGGGAAGTGGTGGGAGGTGTTCAAAGAGTAACAGCAAAAGAGAGCGAAAGGAGAACAAGAATGCCTTGCCAATTGAAGACAGGAAACGCGATCGCATTATCGGAACTTTGCCGAGAAGCTAGCGAAAAAGCAGTTGAATCCAGTCGCCACTTCCAACAGTAGCCGTGTTCGTTCCGACTCACCGGCTATTGCACCAGGTCTTCCGCCTCCGTGGCTCGCTAAATTCTAATGGCACCCCCTCTCTAAATCCTCCTTCATCATCAGCGACACCAAGTCTCTCCCCTGCAACTATCCCAGCACATCAGCCAATTCCGTGGCTGCAGTCAGATAAGAGTACTCGATAGTGCTCCATGCTCATTGGCCAGCTTGCCAAATCAGGGTGCTCTTCCTACTTCCGGAGAGGATATCATAATGTCCGTGTTCACTGAGATCTGGAGGGAATTGGAAGAAAGCTTCTCTGGACGAGATAGAAGCGGAGCACGGAACAGACGGCGCGGCTGAAGAGCGGGCAGGGAAGCACATGCAGTTTTCCTGGATGGTCGACCGAGTTGAGTGTAGGATTCAGATCGCTGATGGTAATGGTCAGTGAGAAATTCGCTGTGGCCTGCAGTTCGTTTCTATTCATCTTTCTTTCTCATGCTGATCATATTGTAGTGTGCTCATATTGATTCTGAGACTCGTTTTCGCTTTGGACAAAGAAGTCAAGTATGTGGAGGGCGTGTGCTTCGTGGGGATGTTACCATTGGCTGAGTGGTATATTTGGTTCAAAGGGGTTGCATTCCCGCTTTTGGTCCAAACGAATTAAAGGGATACTTATCCTTGTCCACTTCAATAGAGGAATAAAAATGAGAAAGGATGTTCAGAATGGGGGGCAAGTAGAATGAAAGAAGAGCATGTCAGCAGCCTCAAATGGTGATGTTTTGGTTTATTCTGTGACCAAACAAATGGTGATGTTTTGGTGATGTTAACAATTGAATTGTCCTTCATAGATTATGTCTGCTTTTCTCATGCACTGGTCCCTCGAAGTGGCCTTGCAGGAAGCATGAAAGCTACTTCTCTCTTTATGATAAGAGAAATTGTGAAGCGACTATTCGACTGAGCCTGGGAGTAACTAGAGAACATCGATAGCAAACTTGAGCTTTGTTGGGACACGCGAAAGATCACACTAAACGTCAAGACGGTTAGGGGCAACAACCTTTGTGAGCTGTCCTCGAAGCATCGCTGAGCTAGATGTTGTCATTTTACTAGCTCCATTCCTTCACGGTTGGCGAGGTCGATAGTCGCTGTTTATATGCGACGGTAATCCATAAAATTACGGCAGAATACACGCTGTTACGATCGAGCCACGAATCCTCGGGAACCATGAGAGGCCCTACCTGCCCCATACTGTTCAAAATGTGTGGCTGTCCCCAGTGGCAAAGTAAAACGTGTGGGTATCATCCTTTAGCACCGGACTTTCCCTTTTCTTTTCCGTAAGTTTTTAACCTTTTTCTCACTTCCTCACCTCATAAAGATATGGCCAAGCTTCAAAGATAAAGGGCACACTTCACTCTGTACTACTGCACACTCCCTCTCTCTCTCTCTCTCTCTCTCTCTCTCTCAGTTCTGCTTTTCCATTCCATCATCACATTCCCACATTGAAGCTCTCAAAGTTTCACTTCCCCTGCACTTCACACACTCTCTTGTGGCCAATTCTTTTCCCAGAAATGGCAGTCTTTCGGAGCACCACCCTCCTGCTCCTATTGGCTCTCACTCCCTTATCACTAGCCACCAACATGTCCTCTTCACAGTCACCCACCATGAACAACTCTACATCAACCCCCACCACGAACAACTCCACATCAACCCCCACCACATCATCCAAATACCAAATTGAGTGCACAATGTGCTCTTCCTGTGACAACCCTTGTAACAAAGTCCCACCACCGCCGGTGCCGCCGTCTCTGCCTCCACCGAGCTCCGGCAGGGCCTACTACTACCCTCCTCCACCGCCCTCCCAGCCCTCCTACAAGTACTATCCCCCGCCGCCATATGGCGGAGGCGGGTACTACTATTACCCTCCACCCAATTACCAGAACTACCCAGGGCCGCCACCGCCGAACCCGATCGTGCCATATTTCCCGTATTTCTACCACACCCCTCCTCCTGCTAGGTCCAGCTCTCCTGCTACAAATACCAACTTAGCCATAAGCTCAGTCTTGCTAGGCAGAGTTGGTGTGGCTCTGGTTTTGTTGCTCTGATTTGAAGAAGCGAGTTATGGGCAGATCAGGCAAATTGCAGATGAGACAATGTACGCAGTTTCAGGCTCAGTTGTTTACAAGAATTGCCCTTCTTCCATGGGCCCAGGATCATCAATCACAAGATGGACAGGAGCAGAGACAGAGAGGAGCCATTGAATAGTGACTACTAGTTCCCAGAAGTTACTCTCTCTGTATTCTCTCTTCTCTAACATGATGTGTAGAGTGATGATTTGCAATTTGAACATTAAATTGTACCCATCTTTTGTTTGGTTACCGTGGCAATAAAGTGAGAGAGAGAGAGAGTGGTCATACTCTTGGAATGCAATCATGAAAGGGTACGCCCACTAGGCAAATGGCAATTAGTATGCTTTTTCACTTTGGCTGAACTGAATCAGTGGTAGGGTAGGGACTGTTGGCTACAGGGGAGTTGCTCGATGATTCTGCAACTTTCGGTATTTGGCCACTGTTTAGATCTGAATTTTTTAGGTACCTTTATGGTCATGGAAGCTTATGATGTGCATATGCTTTGTTTGGTCATTCTTATTTGGTAATGCCAGAGAATAGATACGACCGCCTCTCAGCAAAACCTACCTCACTCAATGATGCGAGAAATTTTAAAATTTAGGGTTGAAATAAGTGGCACTATAGATTCAATGTAGTTTTGCCTAGTCATTGAGTGAACTAGCTTTAATAACGAGTTCTAATGTTTGTAATATCGTGCTTTTTCCTTCGCCGAATTATGTTATTGTTTCTTCATGGCATCTACGGTCAAAGTGCAAAACCCGATTCATGACGATAGGGAGGCAAAATAGAATCTATTAGCGGTAGGACAGTTATCATGCGGTAAAATGGTCATTTATCTTTCATGAGTAGACAAAGTTCCGGCCCATGTCTCGAGCGAATCTCTGGCCAATCTGTGCCTTATATATTTGCTACTTCGCGTAGAGACTTATCGGACCGGACTTTAAAAAAGTGGCGGCACAATAAAAATCGGGTCATAGAACGGGTTTTGGATCTCACTAAAAGAGCCGTAGGCCTTGACATCGGTTCGGGATTCTTTTGACGGGTAAATCAAGATTCGAATTCGACCACGAATGTTACTACAAAACTGCGGAAGTAGCTGTGACATGCATGTTTTGAGATGATCCATCATTCGCTTCGTACCGAAACACGCGCCGATTTCGTATCATACGGTAAGAAAAAGAATAAAAAGCTCGCGAATCCCATACATTTAAGCGAGCTCTGTATGGAACTTTCATCCAAATCCCGACTCAAATCGGACTTGGGGTTCGAAGTACATATCCGGGTCTCTCGAATTTGAATCCGCGACAGAAACGGGGTTCGTGTCGAAATGGGTCCTCCCGTCATTCTCGTGATCACGAGAAAGTAGTAAAAAGCATTGGGTGGGGTGTGTCCCCAAGGTTCCAAGACGCGATGATTTGGATTTGAGGGGGCAAAGAAGAGAGCGGAAGCTGCCTAAAAGGTGTAAAATCTTGGTTTTTTTTTTTTTTTTTTTTTTGGTTGGGTGTAAAATCTGGGGTCTGATCACGAGAAATTGCGCATGGTAATATGGACAAAGATGGGCCGTGATGAACGACACGATGTGAACGCGCGAGCGGGGTTTGTTTTCTTTGGTGTCGACTCCCCTTCGCTTGTGGGCCCCCTTCCCCGTTCTTGGGCCGATCGTCTCCCACGTGCCACGTGGAAAAAGGCTCTCCTCGGTGTGAGGTAAAAAGAACAGGCGCGCCTTTCTTTTTTTTTGATTTTTTTTCCGGCTTTTCTTTTCCATTTAGATTGTATTTATTTCGCGAAAGATGAATGATTTAAAATATATTTTACTAAAAATAATCACTTGTATTGTTTATAAGAATAAAAGAACGAGAATTTTTTCATGGTGCACGAAAAATATTTAGATATAAATTATTATCGATAATAAGAAAAATTCATTAGCTATTTATACCAAGCTATACAAGAGACATTTTTTGGAAAATATTTTTTGAAACGCTCATTTTTCAAGAAACGAACGGAACCTAAATAAAAAAAGGCCAAAAAAATATATTTAAATGTGTTTTTGAATGTATGTCGCCGATAAATATAGATTTCTATAGAGTAATGCTTTTTCCACTTCTTCTTTGGCTTAGACACTCCATTTTCTTGTGTTTTGACTATACTATTCCCTGCGGGACCTACCACTTCTTGTACAACTATATAAAAGTGATTCATTTTGTATTATTTAGTCAACTCTTTTAATTTTGTTTCTCCTTTTTTTCCATATGGGTCCCATTTTCCTTCTTCTTTTTTTCTTTCTACGAATTTGACAACTCAGTTCTACACCTTCCACTCCCTCTTCTTCTTCCCCAAACCTGTCGTCCTCTATTTTTTTTTCTATGATGCCAATCCTGTTGTTCACCACACTTTCATCGGCACGGGCATTGAGCTTACTGGTGACCTCCCCAGCAAGCTGTTTTTCTCCACCGCACGAAGGCAGCAAAATAGTAGACGATATTGTTGTCGATTCGATACAATAGGTCATATTTGTTCTTAAAGCAAAAGACACACACTGTTGGAGGAGCAGTCAGATCTACCTTGAATGTAGCCTAATTTTAGATACAAGAGGCATCCTTTAGCCTCCACTCTAGATTTAAACCCAACACCTATAATCTTGAGAAAGCGAAAAAATTTTGGCCTCCATTGTCGTCAAATACTCAATTCCCCTTGAGATCAAACAACCGGATTAAGCATTTCCTATATCATTATTTCCAGTAAGTCAATTAATGAGAAGTAATGACAACATTTAAAAACTGATGATGAAGAACTTATGAAAACCATAGTAAGAAATTGAACCCAGAGGGAGCAAAAGTCTATAAGACGCGAGTATGGCAACTGCACAATTAATTCGCAAACATTGTTTTGATGCACTCTACACTCTAAACACAGGATTGAAACACAAGATCAAGCATTTCCACGATCCAAAACTCAAATTCACTTTTAACAAAAAATATCAAGAAACGCTCAATAGCAACTGAGCATGATTCAAGACCAAGAAAACTAAGAAGGAAAAATGCAAGCTTTCGTCAGAACTGTACTTTTGATAGTGAATGAGGAGGCTGCAGATTGTTGAAGTAAGTAGTTCTTTTGGGATTGCAGAAGCAAGAGAGATTTGTGGTAGAAGAAGAAGAAGAAAAAGGAGTGAGAGGCGTAGAAAGAAGAGAATGGCTTACAAGAGAGAAAACACAAAAACGATTTGCAAGAGCTGACGCGGTGGAAAAAAATAAGAAGAAGAAGGAAAGTGAGACTCTAAATGAAAAAAAAAAAGAAACAAAATAAACAGAGTTGATCAAATAATAAAAAGGATCACTTTTGTAAAGTTTTACAAAAAATGATAGACCCCACAAAGAATAATATGGTCAAAACACGAATAAAATGAGTGTCTACGTCAAAGGAGAAATGGAAAAAACGCCACTCATTTCGATAATCCTTCCCATCCCAAACATTTATCTTTTTCGGCTTAACTAAGTGATTTTAAGTTTGAAAAAAAAAAGGTTCCTTCTCATTTAAAATTAAGTCGAAATGATAAATCTCTATGAGTGAAAGCAGGTTCGTTTACTTTTAAGCTGCGTTTGGTCGTCCGGATTTCTAAGGCTGCGTTTGGTTCAGCATTGGGAAGGGGCTTTCAGCCCCGAAAGCCCCTTCCCAAAAATCTTGAACCAAACGGTTAGCATTGAGCATTGAAAATGCTCAAAACTAGCATTTTCAATCTTTGAAAGCCAATCTTGATCGGGACTAGCTTTGGACTTTCACCTTGAACCAAATGCCAAAATCATTTTTATACTTCCCAAACTACCCTCACTCAAATTTCAATATTCGACTTTGCCTCTCATTCTTGTTCATCTTCTTCACCAAAGGGACTCCAGGCGAGGGCAAAGGGCGGCGACGGCGAAGTCCGGCGAGGTCGCCCGACCCGGGCGACGGCCGCCCGAGTCGAGCGATCGCCCGTAGCGCGGCCGCTCGGGGTCGAGGCGGCCGCCCGGGTGCGGCCGCTGGGTCCCGCGACCTCGGGCGGCCGTCGGCTGGGGTCGCGACCCGGCGGCCGTTGGCTGGGGTCGCGAGACCCGGGCGGCCGGCACGGGTCGCGCGACCCGACGGCGGCCGTCGGCTGGGGTCGCGCGACCCGGGCGGCCGTCGGCTGGGGTCGCGCGACCCGGGCGGCCGTCGGCCTGGGGTCGCGCGACCGGCGAGGGGACGCCGACCTCGGGCGGCGAGGCTGAGGTCGCGCGACCTCGAGCCTCGTCGCCCGAGGTCGGCGTCCTCGCCGAGGTCGCACGGCGACGGCCGCCGGCGCCAGATCTGGCTCGCCGGCGGCCGTAGCCCTTCGCCGGAGCCGGCGAAGGGTATTTTTGCCTTTTTTTTTAAAAAACCCCCTCAAAACCCATTTGTAAAAAAAATTAACCAAACACCACTTGGGTCAAAATAGCTTTGCAAATGAGTTTTTACCAAACGCCATTTGCATTTTTCCTAAAGGGCTTCCACCCAAAGGCATTTGCATTCCCAAAGTAGCATTCCAAATGCTGTACCAAACGCACCCTAAATAGGATAGGACTGGATAGGATAGAATAAGAAATCCTGGGATTTCTTCATATCCTATCTACTGTTTGGTGGACTACGGATTTAAAGTCGGATAGGATATTTTTTTTTTTTTTGCTATTCACGGGTCCGGAGGAGTCGGTGAAGGAAAAAAAGCCGAGAAATTTTTTTGGTGAAAGCGCACAAGGTGTGGGGATGAAGATGACGGCGAGTGGAGCGTAGGGTTTCTAGAAAAATAGACATTAGAAATCCTATTCAGGTCTATCCCACCCCCCCTCGGATTTTTTTATCCGGGCTATATCCGGTCTATATCTGACCTTATCCTATCCTGGACCACCACCAAACATGGAATAGGATAAAACATATCTTATCCTGGCTTTTATCCGGTCGACCAAACGCAGCCTTAGTTGATGGGTGAGTAAAATTTGCATCTATTCTCGAATATCTTATTATACGAACAATGCTCGAAATTTGAAGCATTGTTTTTTTTTTTGTTGAAATTTGAAGCATTGTTAATTTCGTGAATACATACACTATTTATCACTTCTAGAAATTGCATTTAATAATGGATAAAGAGAAAATATCTTCAAATGTATTTTCAGATGTATTCCACCAATGAATATCGAAATACATGAAACTGGCAAGTTGACTAATTTGTTGACCACACATAAGGGAGACTAGCTTCCAACGCTACACGTTTTACTCTCGTTCCGGCTTTCTAGGATTGAATGGCGATCCGGGAAATCCAACATGTGTTTAAGAGTGTATTTGTTTAGTGGATAATGAATGAT